TCGAAAACTAAGAGTACAATGAGCTAATACCATAAAGTATAAGCCCATACAATAGTATTCGATAAAGAGCATTTTAGGGAAAATTATTTGACACCCCTCATTATAATTTGCCACTTACTAATTTTCATGATTAAGTTAATTTTAAAATTAAATACTATTCTAAAAAAAGTGAGTATAATAAGTGGGTGGCATTAAGTGAATACAATAAATATTAAAATTAACAATATTACGTAAATACAAACTTGATACTTATTTAATCTTCATTTAGTTTTAAAAAAATGAAAGAAAAAATTATCTTGCTATTGTTAGCTGATTTATCTTATACCTAAAAGAACTAAATTTGAGACATAATTCTTTCGCTCAATTGCTAGTCAGCTGGCTTATCTTATAGGTAGTACTTAAAAGCACTACATATATGAGAGAATCCTCCGCTCAATTGTAAACGCGTTTATCTTCTAATATCTAAAAGCACAATATATGAGAGAAAATTCTTCTTATATCTAAAAGCACTACTTATGAGAGAGAAAATTCACCCTCTCCATTGTTAGCCGGCTTATCTTCGTATACCTAAAAACACTACATATGGGAGAGAAAACTTTCCCGCTTAATTGTTAGCCAGATTATCATATCATACTTAAAAGAACTACATACGAGACAGAAAGTTATCTTGCTCAATTGTTAGGGATTTTATCTTTTTATTTTCATATACCTAAAAGCACTACTTATGAGAGAGAACATTATCACGTTCAATTGTTAGTAAGCTTATCTGATAATACCTAGAAGCACTACATGTAAGAGAGAAAATTTTTTCGCTCAATTATTAGCAAGCTTATCTCTTATACATAAAACCACTGCACATGAGAGAAAATTATAACGCTTAATTGTTAGCCAGCTTATCTTATAGCTAAAAACATTACATATCAGAGACAAAATTCTTGTGCTCAATTGTTAGCCGACTTATCTTCTTATACTTAAAAGAACTACATATGAGAGAGAAAGTTCTCTCGCTCAACTGTTAGCAAATTTATCTTCTCATACCTAAAAGCACTACATATGAGAGAAAAATTCTACTGCTCAATACAATTTTCCCTATCAACTATTATGCCCTAAATAGTAGAGGAATTGCCCTAAATAGGAGTAATTAAACAACTTTGGGAATTCCGAAATAGGACCACTGTGTTTTTCTTTCCGAAAAAAAAGTCATTACTGTCATGACTGCAAAATACTGGCATGATTGAAAAATACTTCCATTGGTTATAATAAATATTGTCATGTTGAATGCATAGTAATGCAACTATTTGGCAGCCATGACTAAAAGATGGCAGTAAATATTGTCATATTAGTCTTATTTCCGGAAGAAAACCATAGCAGTTCTATTTTGAAATTTTAAACTCTGTTTAATTCTATTTTGGGAAATCTCCCGTAATAATACTTAAAACCACTACATATGAGAGAGAAAATTCTTTCACTCAATTGTCAACCGACTTCTGTAATACCTAAAAGCATTAAATGTGAGACAAAAATTTTCCCGCCCAATTGTTTTAAAAAGTTTATCTTCTGATACCTAGAATCTTATGCATAAAAAACTACATATGAGAGAGAAAATTCTTCTGTTGAATTGTTTGTTTGATTATCTTATACCTAAAAGCACTGCTTATGATACAAAAAATCTCTCGCTCAATTATTAGCCGGCTTTTCTTATACATAAAAACTCTATAATATATGATCTTTTTTTGCAGTATAGAAATTGTTTTAAAAAATGACATGTCGGGCCTCTAAAAATATTATTTTAAGGAAGGTAATGCATTTAATGTATATGTGACTTTTTATTTAGCAAGTTTGACATTATTTTTAAACTCTATTTCCTCAACACATTACATATGAGATAGAGAATTCCCTCTCATTCAATTGTTAGCCAAATTATCTTACACCTAAAATCCCCCCCTCAATCATGTAAGAACCATATCATTTTGTCATTTATTGATAAATTCATAAATCAACTTTGATTCTCTCTCACCCAAAACTATGATACTATGAACATGATTAAAAAAATCATTTGAAGTCAAGGCATTATGCATGTGGTACTCTTTCTATCACTATGTACGGTTTTATATATTTTTGTCTGTACCGAAACCGTACTGTTTGAAACGGGTACGGGACCGGTCCTAGATTTTGAGAACCGGAAAATACCGGACCGAACCGTTTGAAAATAATGCACTTGAATTTTTTTATATTTTTTTCTATACCAATTCATTAGATCTCTTTTATAGACCAACAATGTTATAGCCCAAGTATGTACTTATGCATCCTTAAAATAGCTAAATGTGTGTTTATATGTATAATATATATACTGTTATTTTTCCTTTTTAGATTATTTATGTTATATTTTGGTATGTATTGAAAGAATATTAAAATTTTAGAGAAATCATTAATGACTTCATTTCTAGTGATGTTAGCGTACATGACTTTTTGTTGTATCATGTTTGTGCAATTTTATAACTTAATTAATATGGTTTAAATCTTAGCTCTCAAGGTTCAACTATAAATTAAATTAGAACTATGGAGTAATATTTAACCTAGAATGAAGAAGAAGAAGAACATTGAGGATTTCTATTATATTCACATGAATATTTGATGATATTCGTTTTTATATTTTCATATTAACTAAGTAAATTAAGGATGATATTTATCTCGTGTGTCATCATTTTGCTAATACTCTTTCTTAGTTGTGTTGCACTATTTGTTTATTTGTGAATTTTAGTCCTATATATGCAATTTCTTGTATTTATATCAACATTTTATGTGAGTTGGTTGGTGTGATGATAACTACTAATTGCAAGATCTCTACAAATTTTTTAGCATGTGTTTGACATTGTACCATACCGTTTTGTACCGTTCCAAAACGACATGGTACCTAACGGTTCTATCCTTGAAACCGCAACGTACCGGATCGTTAAAAACCTCATGGCTACATAACTACATTACGGGTTTTACTAATTTATCGGACCGTTCTGGACCGCGCCCACTCCTACCGGTTCTAACCCGGGCCGGTACCGGGCCTTAATATTTATGACCCGGAGCCCGGCCCAGCATGGCCCGGAGCCCGGCCCGGCACAGGCCCAGTCCACCCCTAGGTTAAACCGTATGGAATGTGAATAACCGCAAATTACTTGAAGGGGTAATTCTAAATACAAACACATATTTACTAAGTGCATCCCATTATTTTGGTAATACCTATAGTACCCTTATTACAACTTTACAACACAGCTGTTTTCCTTGAGACTCTCCTATCGGAAGGCCATCTTCAGCGGCGACCACTTGCTCCTCCACGGCGCTAAAGCCGATCACTCCCTAATTAAAAAAGGCCATCTTCTACACCAAAGAAACCCATTCCTTTCCACAGGTAGTCAGGTACCACGAGATGTTGTGCGGAAGTGCCGCGCCGCCAACGCGTGGCGTGTAACCCACATAACAAAAATGACACTGGCGGAATCATGATCTACAACGACAAGTCGACGGCCATATACTACGCTGCCTCAGAGAGTTTGACATTTGATCGAGGACAACCTTCCTCTGCGCCCACAAATAGCAAAGGGTGGGATTTAACCACACCTCCGGTTTGGTAGGTCTCAGCCGCTGGCGGCTGGCCTTGGTCTCCCAGCTCAACGTCTCCCAACTCTCAAACGGAGTATTTCTTAACCGATCTGGAAAGTTGTGGCTTTGATCAAATTATTTTCCTTTATATATACGGAGTATATTATTATCTCACTTAGGGAGTGTTTGGGATTGCTTCTACTTTAAAAAAGTGATTTTTTAAAGTGATTTTGGAGAAAGTCCTTAATAGTAAAAGTTGGTAGTGTTTGAGAAAAAAGTGATTCTGAAAAAGTAAAAGTTGGTAGTGTTTGGTAAAATAAGTGATTTTTGTGTAATAGAAAAAGTGAAAATCAGTTTAAAGCATCCTTCCACCTGCTTCCAGCTTTAAGCTTTTAAGTGATTAATTTAAGCAGAAGCTGTCATTTGAAAACACTCTTTTCAGCTTTTTTTAATCCAAAAGCTAAAAAACACTTTTTTAAAGTAAGTGCAAACACTCCTTTAGTGGAACGTCTCTTTGAACAAAAACAATCTGAAGGACTGATCACTGATATGCGCCTGTGTCCGCGTGTTTTAATTTACTTTGTATATTCTAAAAGGGCAAATTAGATATTCAATTAATTTGGGGGCTGTGTTTAGTAAAATTAGGGCTGTGAATAGAACTTCCTTACTTGAACTCAACTCGATGTCTCGACGATATCCAAATCCAATAATATTTAGGATGTTTTCTTTTGGACTAAAATTTGCTGGTCTGGTCTGGTCTGGTCTGTTTAAGTCTGGTCTGGTCTGGTCTGGTCTGTTTAAGTCTGGTCTGGTCTGGTCTGGTCTAGTCTGAACTGGTCTGGTCTGGTCTGGTAAACGTCTGGTCTCTGTGTATTTTATAACTACAGAAGTCTGGTCTGGTCTGGTCTGGTCTGTTTAAGTCTGGTCTGGTCTGGTCTATTTAAGTCTGGTCTGGTCTGGTCTGGTCTGTTTAAGTCTGGTCTGGTCTGGGACTGAAAACAAAACATCCTTATATATGCATTAATAGGGTGCGCATGACTGCATAAGTTAATTCAGTTATTTAAACAAATTTAGTGTGTGTGTTGATGAGAATTTTTAAGATTATCATAATTCATAAACTGGGTCCGTGGTTAAAGTTATCAAGCCTTGAAGGAATGATTTTTAGAATCAATTTTCCTAACCAAAGTTATCATGATAAGATTGGCACTGGCCTACAATCCTACATGTATAACTTTATTTTAAAAATATGTATAAAAAAAAAGATTCATGTTATTTATGACATGCAAAAAAATAACTTTATTTATGTTATTTTAAAGTTTGCTACATTTTTCTTTTTTGATGTATTCAAAAATTTGCTACATTTTCCCTTTTTGGTAAGTTTTTTTTGTAAAAATACTCAATTACCCTTACTTTTTCTACTTTTTATCTTCTCTTTCATACTTTTCCACCTTCTCTCATATTTTTTCTACACTATTCATTACCCCTATTATTTCACCCTTAAATGTTGTGCCCAAATCTAATGCAGAAAACTTTGAAATACGAAGGGAGTACTATATGACCATTTATCTCCTGATTTGGCTGAGTGCGTGAAAATTTTGTAGTTGGAATTTGTTTTGAAGAAAGAAACAATATTAACAGCAGAATCATTTTTCTAAAAGGAAAAAATAAATAATTTAGTGAGAAAATAAAAGAATGCAAATAAAAAATGTGATAGAAGGAGATACTTTGATCCTCAGCTGAGGGCAGTACGCATCATGCATCAACGTCTCGATTTAATCTTTTAAATGTGTATTCAGTGGGTGAATCACAAGTCAATAACGGAAAACATTAAGAATTTTATGAAGGAAATATCTCCAAACAATCCAAAACATCACTTTTCACAAAGTTGGCCCATCAAATCTCAAAGGTAATGTATGTTGCTGGCTGTAGTAAAATAATTAATCAACAGCTGTGCGACCACCCCTCCCGTATTTGATTTCACCGGACAAACCAAAGACGCTAGGTTTTTGATGTCATAAGAGACAAAGCGGTCTTAGAAAGTGGCATCTGCTGGATCAAACTTCACAACCGAAGGACTCTGATTTTTGTTACCTCTCAGCCGGGAAGTGACCTTGTCAATGACAGAATTCAGTTGCTGTATCCTTTCATTCAAGGATTCCCTGTTCCTCTGCATTTTTCATGAACGAACATAGGAAATGATACATTAGAGAGAGTTGTTGGTGGTGCAAATGTCCAATGAAATGATTCTCCACACAATTGTTTATTACCTCCAAGTCATCATAATAGATTGGTCGCCTAGCCTTTTGAAAACCAGCTTCATTCTCATTTAGGATAGATCTTCTTATCTAGACAAGTCATGTACAACATTAAGCTCTCATGACTTGAGACCAAAAAACATAATAGAATGCTCAACAGCTAAGCAGTTTAATCAACTATTCAACTTTATATATTTTGGTCAAATAACTAAATAAGTAAGCATCCTTCAAAATTTGAAAATTGCAGTTTATAAAAATTAGAACCTGAACTTATCTTGCTAGTGACATAATAAAGGGGCTTAAACGGATTACTCTACAGTTAGATGTGAGCAAATTTAGCAGGGTTATTTTTTGTCTACGTTCTATTACTTCTATATCAACATACATCTCTGTGTAATACTGATTAACTTCCAATCACGTCTTTCTTACCTGCTCAGCATTTATCATATATTTAGCGTTCATTCAATTTGGCATTCATCAAAGAGGAAAATGCCAGGATCAAATTAGATAACTTTCCCTTGCACTATTTTTTTAACAGCACTGCAATAACATGATAGACACCCGAGTGAAGCTGCTAGTACTAATAATGATAATAAGCATTACCGGAAGGTCTATAGTAGGAGAAAGAAGTATAACAATTAGTTAGTTGCTGACTGCTGAGGTGTAATTTCTGTTGGTATTATGAATAGAATAAATAGATGGGAAAGGGGAGTTAGTAAGGAGGCTGTTAGACAGTTTAGTCTGGACTGGGAGGATTGAGACTCATCATCTCTTTCTTTGTACTTCGTTGTATTGGTTTCCACCATTAATGAAGTTGGAGTTATTTCTTGAATACTTTTCATCTTTTCTGTAAATCTTTGAATACCTGGAGTTGTTCAATCATAACAGCAGAGAGGTTGTGATCAAATCTTATTTCTTTCAGTAGTATGTTTTTCGCCGATCAAGCTAGTCTAAAGCGGACATAAAATTTCTTGTTCTGCCAGGCATATGTGAGAGCAACAAAACCCATTTAAGGATATTTTGGCAAACAAAAAAAAGGATAGTCACAGAAAGCATATATGGGATGTGTTCAAGCTACACACGAAGTAGTCCAACTGTCTTTCTGTCCATGATATGAATCAGAAAAACTTAAAAAGGTGTTACTTTGAGATAAAAGTTAAGCGGAGTCAAAGAGAACTGTATAACCACCTCTGGGGCAAAAACATAGCCAAGTGCTCCACATATTGCACCTCCCAAGAGAAATCCAGAAATAAATTCAACGGCGCCTCCACCTCTACTTTCACTAAATGAAAAAAAATCCATTTTATATAAATGTGGCTAAGAAGAGAGTTAAATAAAATACTAGATCTGCTAGAGAACACAAATAAACTATAGTTTGAGTGAACGAGGTTTGCATGTAAGTCAGGAAATTAAGAAACATTATCATAAAAATTAAATAGTTCCTAATAAGAGATCAATTGATTCTTTAGAGGAGGACACTATTAGTGTGAACACTACACGAAAGATAAATCAGCAGGTCATTTGAGAAATCCTTCCACAGAATCTGATAACCAACTCTGGTAGTATGACCGTCAAACGCTAAATAGAAGCAGGGTGTGAAAAATGTGCGGTATCAATTTAAGCATTTCAGCCACAGAAAGAAAAAAATACGGGATAAGAGTCAGTTTGGTCCTCGAAGTTGCAAAAAAAGGGTCAAATAAGTCCTTATATAGAAGATTCTGTCCGGACGTGCCATTTGAGGTGGCTCCCGGTGGAATTTTTTGATGAAATTTTTTTAGCATCTTATTAATTAAGTCTAGTTTACTCATACCAAATTTCAGATAAAAATTCAATCGGGAAGACATTCAAATGAATTCTTGAAGATAACTGTGCCGTTAAAAGCGCTGTTATCTTCAAGAATTCATTTGAATGTCTTCCCGATTGAATTTTTAGCTGAAATTTGGTATGAGTAAACTAGACTTAATGAATAAGATGCTCAAAAAAATTTATCACAAAATTCCACCGGGAGCCACCTCAAATGGCACGTCCGGACAGAATCTTCTATATAAGGACTTATTTGACGCCTTTTTTTTGCAACTTTGAGGACCAAATTGACCCTTTACTCAAAAAAATACTGAGGATACTCGTATACGACTTTAAATTAAATGCAATGTCACTCAATGATGAGGGAAATTATGTAGCTGGGCATTTCTTTCCTTTATCCTTCCAAATTCGCTTTTTTGTAAGGTGGAGGACTTATATCAATCTATATAACTAAAATAATGATCTGCAAAGGTGTCAGAACAGAAAAACTGGGGTTGTGTAAACTTTCTTCCCAAGACCCTACGCATGTGAATGAGTGCATTACAAAAAGCATTATACTAAGGGCACCCTAGTATTTAAAATATAAAAGATGCTAAACAACCAAAGAACAATATTACTAAAGATAATACAAGGAGCAGTAACAACCCTTAGATCTACATGTGTTATACTGCTCTTTGAACCAAATCATACAATTTTCTTATGGCCCAAGGACATGTCGCTATTCATGCCTTAAATGGAAGCAATTAGGATAATAAGTCAAACATCAAAATCATGCAAGAAAGTTTATTGCACCAAATCCCCTATAGGACTGAATCCTGCAATGCCAAAAAGCTGCAAGACTCTTTCTTATCTAGACTGCAACTCTGCATATATGTAAAATAATAAAAATTTAAATTCTTTCACTGGCAATTTTATTTAATAAATCTGGAAGACAAATACATTGTGACTTAGGCTAGGGCATAGGAAAGTATTATGAAGTCACACTCAACAAGTTGTTAAGTTCATTTCCCCACATGCAACATAAAATTTTTTAAATCCATGTGTCATGAATTAAATTTATGATAGACATACTTATACTGTGCACAAACCGACAAGTTGTTGGTTCTCCGATGAATCAGTTTCCTCTGAACTTTTAATGATGGTGTCTTCACAAATGAAGAGGACTTCCCAGACCAAGCTTCACATGTTTTGAGATTAGTCGGACCTATAAAATGTGAAACATTGCTACTTTTCATATACAGAGTACTTTATATAAGATTACTCAACTGTCTCATTTACTACTAAACAGTTTTTTAACCGTGCTTTTTCAAAATTAATAATAACACTAGAGTAACATCTTGCCCATCTACTCAAGGAGTTTTGTACCTCAAAATCATACGAAAGTGAAACCCGAAAAAAGTTTGGCCAGGTCTACACCGTTTTTTAAGTATAAGGGCCCATTTGGTAACCCCTGTTTTTTGCTTATAAGCTTTATCAGCCAACTTTTTACCAAACATGTGATTTTTTACTTCACGCACTAAATCGGGAAATAATAAAAATAAGTTAGGTTATAGTTGCTTTTCTTACTTGTTGATTGGCTGAATTTAATATAGAGCACCCTTTTAGCTATTTTTTCGTTGTTTATAAACAAGATATATTTTTAAATATATTTTTATAATTCACCAAATTCAGCCAATGCAACCACTGAGCGATAATTTCATAAACTTCAACAGATCCAGCTAATTGAGGGATTCGACAATCTCAGTGTTACCAAGCCGACTCTAAATCATACAAATTCAGGGACCAGATAGCACCAAAGCAATTTCTGTGATAAAACATTTTCTTTACTGATTTACCTTGTTGTGATAATTCTAAATCCTGATGGATGTGATCCATTAACGATACAATAGTAATGAACAACAAATTTTCCATTTGTGCGTCAATCCGCATTTAGGATTAACATTGTGAAAGAGCTTAGACAATGTATGAGGCCAAACGCGATCTACTATGACATTCTTAATTCCCGCCCCGACTATCGTGATGAGAATCGCTCCAGGCATCTATACTACCGAACTGAAAGCTAAATCAACAAACAACCGCGGAAAGAACTCCCCGTGATAGAGATGAGGACAAAATTGAACTACAAAGAGTTACCTAGGGAAGCAGAGAAGAAGGCCACTCCAGTCGCCATGGGAGCTAACAATCGAAGCTGAGGTCGATGGATAGGATGAGTTGAAGAGATTTGAGTGCCTACTGAGATCCCAAAAGCTTTTGCTTCGAATGTATCGGAAATCCGAAAAATAGCATCCTTCCCAAATCCCAGAGCAATTATGTGGGCCGTGGGCCGGATATTTAAGTTAAAGCCCGTTTGATCTTGTTTTCAGCCTTTCAGGTGCTATGTGGCTCATTAACCAACTTCTTCTCCAAACATTTTTTTTAACTCAGAAGGCAAACCACCGAAATCACTGGATCACACGTCGGGTAATGTTTGACGTGTTTTATTAAAAATTGAAACGGTACAGAAGAGGAGGGGACAAAACCAAAACATCCTCAGAAAGGGCATACCCTTTCAGAAATACAAAAAAAAAAAGCAGATTTTTTTGGGGGGACTAGTCCTGACCCAAAAAATACAAATAAAAGAAGTATCTAAAAGAAGGAAGTCCAAAAATATTCATAAAATAGGCCTGTTTCGCTGCAGACATAAGCTCCTTAACCTCATTCATCACTTGTAAGTGGGTCGGTTCATTAGAAGCTAAAAAGGGCAACCCAGTTGCCTTCATGAACCTTATGGCCCAAAGAGACCTGAACATTGTCCGTCGGTCACAAGCTTTCCTGAATTTCTTTTCTCCATTTACGCACCTCCATACACTTCAGGCAGGAAACAGCGTTCATGGAGTCGAATTCCACCTCAAAATCCTTGTAATATGAGTGTGAGAACAAATATACTCTTGTTTTATTTTTTTAGAACAAACATACCTCTAATGATTATGTGGAAATGTATATATATCCATAAACATTTAAAAGGAGCAAAAATATCATTCATGCTCCTATAAATAAACAAGTTTACCCTTATTGACTTTAAATAAATAAAATAAATGTTCAAAAAAACCAAAAATAAATTATAAGTTCGAAATTGAAAAAAGGGGTTAAAAATAATGATTTATTTTATTTTAAAATATTAACTCTTTAATTTTAAACTGTAAAATTAACTCTTTTATATTGGGATGGAAGAGGGTGACACAGTTTTTAAGAAAAAGTGGGTTTGCGTGGTTGATATTGATTGATAAAGTAAGAATTAAGTAAGAATGATTTTGAACCACACAAACTTTACCAAATATGGTATGAGACAATATTAGTGGGACTTCCCGAAAAGGTAAAACGGGACAATATAAGGAGGACGAGGGAGTATTATTTTGTGAGTCTGTGACTTTGTGTAGATTGTGTATTATTATTTTTAGGGTTAACCGGTTAGGGAACCAATTTGACTATTAACTGAATTTTTCAGTGCATAATAAAACAGTGTTTAATTCATTATAAACTTATAATGATTAAAAATAGAATTACAGATTATAGAATGATTTGTCTATTATACAATTGAAGATTAGAGAATGTTTTATTTATTGTGTCGACGTGTAAGAAAGAATTGAAAATTCGAATTTAATTTCAGAACAAGGAATACTTATTAGGTTTGTGTACAACAATTGTTTTTTCTTGTTAGTTTTATAATTTTATAGAAGTATTTTAATTCATACCAATAATGAAAATGTTTTTTAGAATGGTTAATGAACATATTGCCAAGAAAGTAAAATGAAATGAATATTTACTTAATATGAAATTGAGCTTGATTTGGGTTCGATAAATTTTCGGTGTTTGATTTTAAGACACTATGAACATGCTCGAATGTATATAGAAGTTTAGAGTATACTCTTTAATAGATTCAAAATTCCAATTATTCAATAAATCTCGAATCCTTTATACGGAGTAATCATTAATAAATTTATAAACTTGCGCATTGCAAATGTTAAAATTTTAAGACATACTTCGTATTTAATTTATTTCTATAATTTGTAAATGAATGATAGGCGGCTCAAGAGCAGATCAAACCAAACATCACCATGTCCGAATTGGGCTTGAATAATTATTCAAACTCAAAATTTAGTCTGTGTTCGATTTTGAAGCTCGTTAAGCTCGAATTATTAAATTTGAGGCAAAATCAAGCTCAAAATTGAGTATATAATTCGAAAATAGCTTGATTCGATAATAGCCCAGAGCTAAACCTTGTATGCATAGTAACATTTTTTTTACTGCTTAGTATGCCCCATATCTAAATCTTGGATTCGTCCCTGAGTACAATGATGCTGTTAAATTAGCCTATCATAATGCGAGGTGAGCAATTTTGACCGGTTGTCAGGGACGGGTTAGTCCTATATCTCACCCCACGATTGCTCTGAGCTATTGATTTGTTTTGTCACTTTTCACTTCCATTATTATTAATAAATAAATGTTCTTTAAAAAAATGTTTTGATAAAATAAAAGCAAAGTGGAGAGTGTCATCTCAGTCAAGTTCACCGTGACCTGATTGATGACTTGTCCAATAATTGGAAGTTCGATTTTAAGGTAACTCGAAGAGATGGTGTAGAGCATCCGAATGTAGCGTGTCTGTCTTGGTCCAATGGCACATGGCCGCGTGTCATGTCATCCATCACACTTGACGTACGCCGCAGATTCTTCACCCAGGCGGCCGCAGCTATAAAGAACGAAATCGGTGGATATATACAGAGCATATAAAAACAACTATTCAGATGGCGAATGCGGTGGAGAAGAGTTCCGAATTGCCGTCTGCGGCGGCGGGGCAGGACGAGCTGCTGAAGAAAGGGATTGCTGAGTTCTACGACGAGTCGTCGGGGATATGGGAAGACATATGGGGAGACCATTTGCACCACGGCTTCTACGACAAGCAGGCCGCCGGCGTCTCCCTCTCCGACCACCGCGCCGCTCAGATCCGCATGGTCGAAGAGGCCCTCCGATTTGCCTCCGTTTCCGGTACGCTCCTAATGCCGTCCGTCGCTTTTTATGGTTCTGTGTGCGGGCGGGGCATATGCTTTTGTTTTTGTCCCGATACATTTAAGAAAACATTCGATCGCAAAACTACTTTTTGAAATTATAATTGTACAATTAAATCATTTAAATATAAATAGATGATGAAATAACTCTAATTTATCTCGATTCGATTTTCAGTAACAATGTTTTCTTTTGCAAATAACAATGTTTTTAATCGGACCAATTTTACTCTCAAATTAAACGGATCATTTCAAATCAAATCAGATCAAATAGAAACAAAACAGAACAAATCCTGTAAGTCCAGAAAGTTACGCTCTAATTAAAAGCATCTATCTATTCGACCGTGAATAGTGAGTTGGTTTCATCCCTTTGAATAATACTCGTAAGTGTCACTTAGAATATACAAAAAAAAAATGTATCAAAAGAATGTGAACATGAACCTCATCTTAACTTTACCTAAGATAAAAAAATAGATTACTCCAACCATTCCTTTATGTTTGTCAATATAAGTATTTTCCCCAAAATCAAGAAAATCAGTAGGTGATACTCCCTTGGTCCCATTATAATTGTCTTACTTTTCCTTTTCCACCCATCTCACTAGTTTTGTCTCATATCATATTAGACAATATTTGTATTTCTTAAATTCATTCTTACTTTATTCTGACTTTATCAACTCATTATCAACCACATAATTCTAATTTTCTTTAAAATCTTATCACTCCCTTTCACCCCAATATTAGGGGGATGGAGGTAGTAATAATTAAGGTATAAATGGTACTCCCTTCGTAACATTCATATCTTCATATTTCTTAATAATTTTGAAAATAATACACAATTACAACATTTTTTTGGATTTATCTTTCATTCACTCGTGATATTTCATTATCTTCTCATTATACTCTCAATAATTTATATCATCTTTCACTATTCTTGATCTCGCATACTTTTAAATGGGAAGATATATATGTTACAAAAGAATACTTTGTTCGTTTTTAGTTGCAAAAAAATCCATTTTTGTTCATGCACAGATTTGAACTATAATATATTTCAATCCTTATTAGTAAAAAATATTTTTAAAATGAGATTTTGCAAAAATGAGAATATTTTAACAATGTAATTCAAAATAAAATTTATAATACATTTAGAAAACGTAAAAGAACGGACATAGTACGTGAATAATGTAAAATTCTTTACAACTAAAAACGGAGGTAATTTAAAAATGAGAAAATTGCACATTTAGTCCCTAAAATAGTCACCAAATGAAAATGTCAGACCCGTATTTATGAGATTGTAAATGTCACCTCTCAATTGTCCAAATTGCTGTAAATATGGTACTTTGAGGGGTGACTTTTACAAACTTGGTAACATGAGTCTGACATTTCAATATGATGACTATTTGAAGGACTAAAAGTGCAATTTTCTCTTATAAAAATTGGGCAAAGTCCCAATATGGAATTGTGAAAAAATAAAAAATCAAATATAGAAACGTGCGAAACAGAAAAATATTACTTTGTTTTTATTTGACATTTTTTCCTAATTGTTACCACTCTTTTTAATTTTCTTACCACTCGTTTACCTATTTGTTTAACTTTTTCGTAACATCCAAGTTAGTGTTCTTAAGTTTTTGAACACTTTAGAAAAAAAACATTTGTCTTATACCGAGTACATTTTCTACCAATATATGTCGTTGACTCAGGGAATGCGGTAAAACGGTTTGACTTTCTTACCACCCGTTGTAAACTTTTGGTTACCCAATTTTAAAGATGTTTTCTTATAGACTATTTAGTCCATACTAGACCAGATCAGATCTAACAAGACCAGACCAAATTTTCATAGTTATAAAATACATAAAAATCAAACATTTACACATTTATTAGATCAAATCGGCAAATTTGAAAGAGTGCAAGTCCATCCTCTTCGAATGAGGTTACTAGTATGGAAAATGCTAGGGGTACACAAGTTGTACACAACTTGTACACACAATGTCAGTCACAGACAATTGGCACGGAGTTGTCTGTGACCACAGACAAGAGTTGTCTGTGTAAATAAACAAATTTTGTCTGTTTCCACAGACATTTACTTTTTTGTAAAAAATACACTGAGAGCCGCCTGACACTGACAAGTACTAGTATTCTTTACAAAAAAAAAGTAAATGTCTGTGGAAACAGACAAAATTTATCTTTGTACACAGACAACTCTTGTTTATGGTCACAGACAACTCCGTATCAATTATCTGTGACCGATATTACTTTTACACAGAAGTACGGAGTAATTTTTTTTAAGGATTGTGATTTGTGTCAATTAGGGGTGCAAATGAGCCGAGCCGCTCGTGAGCCGCTCGGTCAAAGCTCGAATCGGGATCGGTCAAATTCGAGCTCGAGCCGAGCTCGAGCCGGCTCGTTAAGCAGTCGAGCCCGAGCTCGAGCCTTCTAATTTCAGGCTCGCTGGCTCGCGAGCCGGCTCGCGAGCCTAATTTTATATGTGAATATTTATAATATATATATATATATATATATATATATATATATATATATATATATATATATATATTATATAATCATATATAATATATTACTATGCAATATAAATTAATATATAATGTATACTGTTATAATGTACGAAGTAATATATATGATATACTCCCTCCGTCCCCTTTTAAATGTCTCGGAAGAGTATGACAGGAGTTTTAAGAAAAGTGGGTTTGTGTGATTGATATTAATTGATAAAGTAAGAATATAAAGTAAAAATAATTTTGAACCACACAAACTTTACCAAATAAGGTATGAGACAATTAAATAGGGACATCCCAATATGGTAAAACGGGACATTTAAAAGGGGACGGAGGGAGTATATAATATATGCTGATTAGTAAAATTTTATAATATTTTAGGCTTAGGTCGTTACTACTCAGTAGAAAAACTTAGAATGGGCCGATGACAGTGAATTTTTACTACGGACTCATTATGGAGCATCATAATGGTTATCGAGCCTCGAGCCGAGCCGAGTCGAACCGAGCCTTCTGCGAGTCAAGTTCGAGCCGCGATTTTGTAGGCTCGTTCGAGCCGAGCCCGAGCTCGAGCCGATGCTATATATTTCGAGCTCGAGCCTGTAGGAAATCGGGCTCGGCTCGGCTCGTTTGCACCCCTAGTGTCAATCAAATCACAAGCATCACAATCGGTGGTCGCCATGTTTTTAAACAAGTGGTGGATAGTAAATGGACAAATCGCACCATTCTAGTACCACGATGTCAATAATGATCTAACCCTACCCCCGTACTGCTTCTTCTTTTACGCCATGTGTTCTTTTTTACGGTAGGTAAATCATAAATGAGTGGAAAGAGAGGCAAATAAGTCACGTGCTAACAAAAAAAAGACAAATAAGTCCTTGTTTAAGAGGTTTTATCCGGCCGTCGCCTTTTGAGGCGGTTCTCGGTAGAATTTTTTGATGAAATTTTTTGAACATCTTATTCATTGAGTCTAGTTTACTCATACCAAATTTTATCTAACAATTCAATCGGGAAAGTATTCAAATGAATTCTTGAAGATAACTGTTATCTTCAAGAATTCATTTGAATGTCATCCCGATGGAAGTTTTAGCTGAAATACGTTGAATGTACTTACACATTCAAATGAATTCTTGAAGATAACTGTTATTTTTTCGGTTTTTCATTTTTCAAAAGTCGCCGGAATAAGTCACCGGAAAAGTGGTCACTTTTTTTGGAGAATTTCACTCAGGGGCGGATACACATAGATCTTAATGGGGGCACTTGCCCCCAATAACTTCTCAATAAATTAGCACACCCATTACAAAAAATTAATAATAGGATGCTTTGCCCCCAATAAAAATATGCCATTGCCCCCAATAAAAATATGTCATTGCCTCCAATAAAAAAGCAAAATTGATTAGCCCACATAGGATGATTTCTTTTGGACTGTTTTCAGTCCCAGACCAGACCAGACTTAAACAGACCAGACCAGACCAGACTTAAACAGACCAGACCAGACCAGACCAGACCAGACTCAAACAGATCAGACCAGACCAGACTTCCGTAGTTATAAAATACACAGAGACCAGACGTTTACCAGACCAGACTAGACCAGCTCAGACCAGACCAGACTTAAACAGACCAGACCAGACCAGACTTAAACAGACCAGACCAGACCAGCAAATTTCAGTCCAAAAGAAAACATCCATAGTCACATAGCACATCAACATACTCCGTATTAATGTTTTATCATCATTTTCTTTAATTGTAAACTTTAACTTCATACACATGGAATAAAACGTACTTCATCTATTTCTAAATAAACCACTTGTTTATCCACCTAAATTATCTCACATTTTTTTACTAAGAAATAGTATGTGATTAAAAAGTTTGATATGATTATGACTAAATTTAATGCATTTATCACCATGATCAATAATAATTTACATCAAAATCTAAAAATATTTTATTTATTTATCATAATATGGCCATACACTCACTTTAAAAATTAAAATAAATAAATTATCTTTAAACATCAAACACAAAATTGTATAATTGTATATTGGTTTTTAGTTCAATATAACTTCTATTTCTACTTGTATTTCATTAACAAATTCATTAGTGTAATTTCTTTTACCATTTCTTATATGATCTCCTAATAACCAAATATGAACTCTTTTCATCATTGAAATTAATTAATTGTAATACTCTACTGAAAAACTCTATTAAAGTGTGCACTCTTATTAATTTACTTTAGGTGAAATTAGCAAAAATTAATTTGCACATCATTAACATATAAATAAGAAAAATGAAAAGCGATAACATACTACCTCCGTCCCATTTATATTGTCCCGGAAGAGGGAGGCACAATTATTAAGAAAAGTGGGTTTGTGTGGTTGATATTAATTGATAAAGTAAGAATAAAGTAAGAATGACTTAGAGCCACACAAACTTTGCCAAATATGGTATGAGACAATTTAAGTGGGACTTCCTGAAAAAGTAAAACGGGACAATATAAATGGGACGAAGGGAGTACAAAAAATAAATATATATGAAGATATCATCAAATATTTAATACTCCCTCTGTCCCGCTATGATTGTCTCATTTTACCTTTTCGTTCTATCCCACTAAGATTGTCTCATACCTTATTTGTCTCATACCTTATTTGGTAAAATTTGTGTGGTTCTAAATCATTCTTACTTTATTCTTACTTTATCAATTCAATATCAACCACATAAACTCAATTTTATTAATAACCGTGTCACCTTTTCTTGTCCCAAACTTGGGGGACGGAGGTAATACTTTATTAGGAGTTCAAAGTTAAAACCACCCTTTACCAGCAGAAAGATAGCCTCTTATAATCATTTTTTATTATTTGTTCCTGAATACCATTTCGAAAATCATAATTTTATATTAAGTTCAAGAAGCTGTACAAAAATATATATATTAAGTTCAAGAAGTAATGTGTGTAATGGTACTCTTTAGTACACATTCAAAATCTATACTCTACACATTTGTTTATAAATCAAACCAAAATCTTGCCCCCAATAACCTTTCGGGCTGGATCCGCCACTGATTTCACTTCAATTTAGTCGTATCGAAAGAAAAGGCCCATTGATAAATATATTATCCTTTGATCAGGTTAAAATAACATAGGTGGTGATGTTTTACTAATTTTATTGATAGTGTAAGTACATTCAACGTATTGGACCTATCTTCTGTTATACTCCCTCCGTCCCTTATAACTTTGCCAACTTTCCTTTTTTGGATGTCCCATTAACTTTGCCACTTTCCCATTTAAGTAAAGAATTTGTGGTTCCAATTAATTCTCTCTCCTCTGCACAAACCTCAACCACACAGTTTTTACTTTATTAATCAACGTGCCAGTCAAACTTGGCAAAGTTATTAGGGACGGAGGGAGTATATGCTTAAGAGATATTACCCGAAATGAGACTAAATAGATTTAAAAAAATTTCAAACATGGGACTGTTCACTGTCATGTTTTCATTCTCAAAGTAGGACTAATTACTGTCATGTTTTGGCAGTATCAGACTTAAAACATGACAATATTTTCCAAACTTGACAGTTGTTGAGGTTTATTCCTTCAACCCTTGGACCCAACACGTAAGCCCAAAGATTTCGAGTGGAGTGAGTGTATGAATATCTAGCCCAACAACTATCAGATGGATCAGGAAACAGAGGAAATAGCAGGCAATGTAAATAGGTATTATTAACTTCGTAATAACTCCCCTAAGTACAATCTACTTGCTAAAAAGGCACGTCGGCCGTTCGTCTTACAAGGCAGTAGAAATGCTGCAAGTAAGAATGCTAAAGCTAGGATGCTAAGAATAGAAAGTTGTCAACCCTTTACAATGAAATAAATGCCTTCTATTTATACCCACCAATGGGCAGGTGGCTATACTGACGTGGCAGCCTGTGGACCGCTGGTCCCCCAACCACCAAATCTTCAGCATTAAATGCACTTCCCGCCAGAATCTAGGTTTCCCGCCTAATTAGTGGGGACGTTCGTCCGGCCGGGAAGTGAGTTGGATCGCTCCAAGTGACCCTCAAGAAATACTGGCTGTTCGTCTCCTGGCCTTGATGGATAATCACCATGTGGACTGGATTTCCTCCGCTGACTACAGGCTTGCTCCGGAGACGTTCGTCGTCATCCCTGGTGGCACGTGGTCCTGCTCCTTGTCTCTGTACAGACGTTCGTCGAGAGGAGCCGTTGGGCCTGAACCCCCAACCCCAGACGCTCGTCCCTCCTCAAAGAACATGGGCCTGCGGGCTAGCCTTGTGCTCTACCTGGACGTGCGTCCGGTTAGGAGGGGTTAACGGGCCGGACCTCGGCTTGGGCCATTAACCCAACACAAGTCCCCCACTTCTGATGTTCTGAGCATGCGCAGGACATAAGGAAGTATGAACCCCCTCGCAGTAGACGTTCGTGTCTTGATACTTGTGTTTACTGCATCCGGTGGGAGCGCACGCTCGTGGTTGTGGTGCTTGACCGCTGTCGACGGTTCAGGAAACGAGGTGATGGCTGCTGTAGCGGCGGTGCATTTTCCCGAGGAAGTGTCATCATTACGCTTCCATCCCACGCACGGCGCGTGAGCCGGACCACGCTCCTTGCTACGCGTCAACCCCTCGTTGGCCCCTTAACCGGTGTTTCCCCTATAAATGTCGGGTTTTCCCCCTGAATTAGGGTTCCCAATTTCTGCTCCCTTGCTTTAGAATCCCCGTTGTTCTTCGAGTTCTCTGTTTGGCTTCTGAGTTCAGCTAGTCTCTTTGTAAGGTAATTTCCCTCCTCTGCTTCTTTTCTTTGTTCTGACTCCTAGCCGAAATGACTTCGATGGAGATTTCGTCAAGTTCTGATTCCGGTTCGTCGGGCTCCTCTTCTGACGACGTGAATGCGCGCTCCCCGGGAAAGGCCAGTGTTTCTGGGACTTCTGGTTCGGCCACGACGGTGGGGACCATCCGGGCTGATGGCGAGCTGGATGACGCTTCCCAAGGTAGTGGGAGCGACGTCGGGGACGGGGACGCCGATGGGGCAGTGGATGTTATTGATGCAGTCCCCCTGAATGAGCGCCCCGCTAATTATGACTCCGGGGAAGAGGCCGAATCAGGTTCTGACATGGAGGTGCATGATCTGGGCATCCCTACGGACATGGAGCGCCACATTTGTCCGATCAGAAGCGCCATTGACCATGATCAAGTCCTCTCCCGCGTGGCTCTTAACAAAATCCGCACTTTCTTCCCCCCGCCGTTCGTCTGGAGCGTGAGAGGCGCCGAGCACGTGATGAGGCGACGTCCGGGGATGATCATGCTTCACCTGGACTCCGTTGAAGCCGGGCTGCGGTTTCCACTTCATGCATTCTATGTGGAGTTCTTCCACTGCTTCCAGGTGGCCCCGGCGCAGTTCATGCCAAACTCTTATCGGTTCATATCGGCCTTCTTGGTGCGTTGCAAGCTTGCAGGAGTCGATGCCACCTTGGATCTGTTCCACTACTTCTTCCGGATCACCCCTCAGAACTCCGACGGTTATCTGAGCGTGGCCGCTCGTCCGGGGAGGAGGCTGTTTAAGAGCTACCCCTCCTCCATTCATGACTGGAAAAACCGGTTCTTCTTCCTCTGCTATGACGGTCCTCCCCTCCCAGTTCGTTGGAATGGCTACCCCCCGAAGATAGAGTCGCCGGAGTTGACCGATGACCTGAGCGAGGCCGTGGAAGACATCCTGCAGGGCGGCATTCGCCCCATAGCCGGCTATCTGACCTTCGAGGCACTCTCGGGGGCAGGCATAGGTACCGCCCGTGTCCTTGGACTCTTTCCACCCTTCGACGCTCGTCTCGGGGCACCGGGCGGTCCTGTCCTTCGAGGTGAGTGTCCTATTATATTCTCCGCTCGTCTTTTAACCCTTTATTGTTTCCTGCAGGTTCTCCACCAGATCGAGCTCAGATGAATCACGCTGAGTGTCTGAAGACGAGGAAGGCCAAGGCGGCTGCTGCTAAGGCCGCAATGGCGAAGGCCAAGAACGCCCCCGCCTCGGACTCCAACTCCTCGGCTTCTGATGCTGCCCGACGAACGGCCGAGGGTGAGCAGCACTTAATCGCCACTATGCTGGCTCAGGGTTCCGGGGCCCCTGCTCTTGAAGCTGCCCTCCCGCCACCGGTAGTCCCCACGAAGGCGGCTCCTCAGAAGGGGATGGAGAAGGTCCCCGAAAAGAAGCTGAAGAGGGGCCACGAGGCAGGCTCCACCGGCCCCGTGCTTGAAGATGCCGGCTCCCTGCCTTTGAGCCGTCCGGCGGAAGAGCTTTGGAGGGAGATGACCCTCAAAGCCGGTCTCGAGCTGCCTCGCCGTTCGTCGTCCGAGGCGACCAGTGCTGCCCTGGCAGCCGCTCTTCAGGTATCCCTTCTTTACTAGGTCCGAGTTCACCTTTTCCCTTGACGTTCATCTTCTTACCTTTTTTCCTTCGGTCATCCAGTCTGGGCTTCTTGTCCTTCAAGCTGAAGCTGCCAGGGAGGCCGACCTGAGAGAGGTCAAGGCCAAGGCCGATGCGGCTGTTGCTACGGCCCGGGAGGCCGCTCGCCGAGCTGAGGCGGAGGCTGCGGCCAAGGGAAGGGAGACTGCAGCCCTGCAGGCTGAATCTCGTAGCCAGTTGGCCGGTCTTGAGAGAGTCGGCTTTAAGCTTGTCCCGGTGCTCCCTGCTGCCAAGGATGCCACTCCGGAGTGGCTGGTCGACACCTCCGGCTACAGGAACACTGGGGAGTTTATGGACTCCGCCAAGGATTACTGCGTCGGGGCCTTCGGCGATGTGTTCTCTGCGGCGCTGGCGAAGATTCCGCCCCGACAGCGTCTGGCGTGCGGCGTCCGGATTTTGGAGAGCTCCCCCTGTCTCACAAGTTCCTCTATGAGGTCGGCGACAGCACCTTCGCCGCTGGCTACAATGAGGGGGTTAAGGCCACTCTTCCTATTTTCTCGAGGTTGCAAGGGGCCGATTTTGAGCTGGCTGCCAACACTGACGGCGATCTGCTGCTCCAAGCCTTAGGGAAGCTGGGGAGGGATCAGCGTCGAGAAGAGGCCAAGGCCAGAGGGGAAATCCCGATTTTGGTCCTATGTTTTCATAGGATCAATGTTGGGTGTCTTGGACAAATATACCCTTATAGCTATTAAAATGTTTTAATTCATAATAAAATAATTAAAAAATAATAAAAATTCATAAAAAAAATACCAAAAAATTAATAAAAAATATTTTAAATAATAATAAATTCAAAAATAAATTTGAAAAAAAATAACAAAAAAATAAAAAATCGCCGCCCCCTCTGCCGCCCCAGCACCACCACCTCCAGTCATCTGGGAAAAAAATGTCAAATTAATTATGAATCCCATATTTTTGTCAGAAGTGAGAATGATTCAAGTTCGCAGAATGTTCCAAGTTGGCATTCTCAAAGAGAAATATGCTATTTTTTTGGCATTTTCAAGAAAAAATGGCGTTTTGTTTAGTAAATATGTCATTTTTAACGGGCAGAGGTGGTGGTGCAGGGAGGCGGTACCACCACCTCCTGCCACCGGGGGGATGCCAAAAATATTACTAATGCCATATTTTTGGCAGAAGTCAAAAGGATTCAAGTTGACATGATGAAAATGTTGGCATTCTCATAAAGTAATATGCCATATTTTTGGAATTTAAAAAAAATGGCATTTTTTACACCGATCAAAGGTGGTGGTGCAGGGAGGTAGTACAGGCGGCGGGAAAGACATCCATATTTTTTTTGATGGAGTTTTACTATTTTTTATTATTTAAAAAATAATTATTATTTTTATTTTTTATTTTATAAAATTTTGTTAATTTATTTATTATTTTTCTAATTTTTACAAATTGTTTATGCATTAAACATTTAATTATGACTTTGACTATGTTTTACTCATATTTAAAGGAGGAGTAAGGATGGAATGAAGAAATAGGTATGTTTCCAATAGGACTAATATGGTCCTATTTTGGAATAAAAACATAGCAAGTCCTATTTTGAGTTTTTGCCATAGTTTTAGTCCTATTTGAAGTAATTTCTATTTTTTTATGGAGTAGATCATGTATGTTTGTATTTATACTACCTTGTGACTCCGTTTGACTAACATTGGAATGCTAGGAAGAAGTGCGGCTATTAATAAAATTAAAGTGAGTTTAAGTGGTTAATATAGAATTGATAAAGGGTTGTGATAATGATTTAGAAAAACATAAAACTTATCAAAATTAGAATGAGATAATCTTAGTTGGATGAATCAAAAGAAAGATAGGACAATATTAACAAAGAGTGGTGTAAGAGCAGCTTTTGTAATAGTGTAATACGTATCCGTAGTATATTCCTTTGCTCCAATATTATCCACAAAAATTTCTTTTTCGTGCGTCTCAAAATTATTTCGTATTTCTCTTTTTGACAAAAAAAATATGTGGTTCACATTATTTCTTACACATTTTTCTCTCCTTTTTACGATTCTCCATTAAACAATATCCACTATTTTAATCTCCGTGCCGGTGTACTTCAAGAGATAAAAAAAAACCTAGCTAGTAGCTAGAGGACCTAGCCCCTTTCAAGACAATTCCTGGCTTCGATCCGTGTGTATGTGCGGGAGTGCAGGACTGTGGGTATAATACACATACAATATTCCGTATTCTTGTAGGGAGTATATTATGTATGCAATCTATTCTCCTTCTCATTTTACATATCTTACTTTCCTATTTGAGTTATTTTAAAATAAGTGTCATATTTCGTTTTTGAAAAAAAATACCACGTTTGTGGTGTAATACGTTCCACTTTATTTACTCAAATCTCAATTACAACTTTGACTTTTTCAATCATTTCATTAATAATTGTGTCAAACCAAAGTATGACGCATAAATGATTCAATCATTTAGTTTGATTGTATATGTTGATTCTGTTGAAATTGATTAGAATTTGGTTGAATCTGTTGAATTATGAAAAGAAAAAATAAGAAATATATTTTGTTAAGAAAATAAAGAACAAATAATATTAAATAATAAAACTGATAAGAAAAAACTATTTATACACTCAATTTGTACACAATTTGGATACATTTATATGGTATTGTGTTTGTGTACACAGATAATGTGTACACCCACTAGTTGCATGTGTAGTGCACACATGCTGCTCGTGATGCATTGCCTATTTACATAGATAATTACGCACAAATATGTGATAAATATCAAATGTTAAATGTGGAGTAAATATTAAATGGTAAATGTGGACTAGACGTTTAAAGTCCAGACCAGATTGGACTTAAACAGACCAAACCAGATCAGACTTAAACAGACCAGACCAGACTAGACTAGCAAATTTCAATCTAAAAGAAAACATCCTAATAACAAAACTTGTAGTCCGTACAAACCAAGTGATTTTTATCAATAATAAAGTAAATTAAATAATACGGAGTAACACTTAGACCATTTGGAGTGGTAAGCTTTTAGGAGTTCAAAATGTTAAATATAAAAATTTTGGACTCCTAATGATGTGTAGTGGTATGTGAGGGTCTTTAAAATAAGACCCATGATGACAGTGATTAAAAAAAGGGAACGGAGGAAAATCAAGCGTTGTCCACCCCAGGAGCTATACAATTTGATGATGTCATAGTGACATCATTCAATCACAATTTTTTTTAAAACTCTTAACTTTTTTATTTTTTATTCAATTTTTTCAAAACATATATCAAAATTCATGAATTTTTATAATCTTTCATATGACACCAATATGCAATATATAAAATGAAAAAAAATAATCTGAAATTATAATTGTTGACATTTTTTTGAATCTAAAATAACAAGAAACACAAGTTTTTAATTCACGGATCTCCACAAATTTCTCACTATTCCGCAATCAAACTTTACTTGTTCCATGTTCATTTTTGTTAACCGAAAAATGTTTAAAAAAAATTAATGAAATTTATTTATTTTTACATCAAAATGTGTATATTTTTATTTCATAATAATCCAGATAAAAAATTTAAAAGAAGAAGTTAGTTGTAATAATTTAAATACTGTTTTATTTACTAAATTGATATCTAAAAAATTGTGCAAAGTGTATTTAATTGAAGATGCTGGAATGCAGAGAAATAGGAGTCAAAACACTGTTTTCATATCGACGGAGTCCATTTTTAACATTTAGACTCTTGCACCACTCCAAATGGTCTTAGGGAGAAAATCGAAGTTGTAAATTAATAAATCCATTGTCAGATACCTATAATCCAAAGCTTTGGTGAAATACATCCAATTCCCGTAAACTCAGAAATCCCATAAAAACCCCGTATTTTTGACTTGCCGGCACCAAACTCCCGTAAATCTAGAAAACACCCGGGAGAATTTGACTTTGCACCCCACTTTTTGATTGATATTGGACTTTGCTGTTGGGTGTGTTTCGGAAAATAAAGAAAATTAATTAAAATAAATTAATTAAATAAAATGACGAAAGAAAACAAGAAATAAGATATGGAGCAGAATTTGTCAAAGCTCGTGCTACACACGATGTCCTTAAAACGTATTTGTTGCCTCCCACGGTGCTAGGAGCGTTGCAACAATAGTTTCCCAGGATACGATGACAACGAACTAGTGTTTGAGCACTCAAACAAAAGTTCCAGCGAACGAGAACAAAGACTGAACACAGAAGGAAATTTTCGGAATGCTAGCAGTGTGTTTTTAGAGCTAAAACGTGTATGAATTCGTGTAAGAACGTGTAAGAACGTGTGTTGTTGCAAACCACCTGCCAGCCATTATATAGGAGGATTTGTTGTGTGAAAATAGTGAATTAATGGACCTGAACGTTGGACATGAATGACCAGTCCGTTGGGCATTGAATCGTCCATGAACTGTCCATTTAACGCTGCATTAAAAGATATAAACGTTGGGCATTAATTGTTGTAACGTTTTAGAAGTGCGACAGAAGACCTCCATCAGAACACCCCGGGAGGGGTTCTGATCGGAGGCCAATCAGAAGACCCCAACTCTGATCCGCGGCCACCAGAATACCCCATCTCTGATGGGCGGCCATCAAAATACCCCATGAGGGGTTCTGCCATCAGAACACCAACGAGGTGTTCTGATCCGTAGGCTTCTGTCCGAGCACTTCTGCCGCTGGGAAAAAATTAAACGTTTCGGGAAGAAAACAAAAATTAATCGTATCTCTTGAGAGATAGATTTTTGGACGACATTCGTGTCCGCAGGTCGCCCGCGCACGCAAGTCGCGGTTTTTCTTCTCCGAATTCGGGATTTGATTTGCACCCCCCCCCCCCCCTGCGCGCGTGGAGAGAGCCTTTACCCTTAAGAATCTTAACTCCATAAGGGGGGAGTCCCTTTATAAAGGGTAGCAAATCCCTTGGGTTTTTCGGTGTGGGAAATTAACACACTAGAAACCCATCCTTTTTCCCTTCTAACGGGTAAACTTCGAAAAGTGATTTCTCATTCACCCGTTATCCGTTTTGAGCGTACCATATATCGAATTGTAGACCTTAACAAGGACAATCCGAAACCACTTTGACCCGACCCAAATCGGAAGTGGACCCCACTCAAAAAATTGCCCCAAAATAGTCATTTAATGCAATTTTTTCACACATTTTTTCAACAATCCCCCACATGAATGAAAATTGATTTTCGAGACTTAAAAAGACACGAAGATAGGAGGACACGTTGTGTTCACCGGATGATCCTTGTATACGGAGAGGTAGGTTTAATCCTTTGAACCTTCCGCTGTAAAGACTCGTTTATTTACTGGCTGTCTAGTAGACTCGATGTCTTTGAACTATACTGCCGTCGTGTAAACATTGACTTATCTTTACACAAGAACCTTCCAACTTTGTTCCGTTCTCATGGGTGTGCCCGTTTTGGCCATGGGTCACCGTCCTGGTTCTGCAAGAGTTTCTAAAGAACTGAGCCTTTACAGTTCTCCTTTGAAGCGGCCCTCTTCTCTCTCACATAGGTGATTCTTTCACGAGTATCCCGCATACTCTTCCAATGTTATCGAGTAGATCAACATTTTAGAATCATTAAAGCAAACGTTTTTGCTAACCTCGTGCGGGAGTCACTGTTTCAACGAGGAGTGGGTAGGAGTCCGGGACCCCCACAGTGACCATCCTTCGCTCTATAATTTAGTTGTCCCATTTGAACCTAGGACCAACTAGGTTGGGTATCCACTATAGAACTTTTCAATTCACGGGCTTTAATCCCATTCCTCGTGACAACTTCTCCAACAATTCTCTATCCAAAACCTTGGTTAGCGGATCCGCTATGTTATCCTTTGACTTCACGTAGTCAACAGTGATAACACCCGTTGTGAGAAGTTGTTTAATGGTATTATGTCTACGACGGACGTGTCTAGACTTACCATTATAGAGATTGCTCTGTGCCCTTCCAATTGCCGCTTGACAATCGCAATGTATGCATATTGGAGGGACAGGCTTCTCCCAACTTGGAATATCCTCGAGAAAATGGCGTAGCCATTCAGCCTCTTCAGTGCACTTATCCAAGGCTATTAGCTCAGATTCCATCGTGGATCTAGCTATTAACGTTTGTTTCGAGGATTTCCACGACACGGCTGCACCTCCCAAAGTGAAAACGTATCCACTTGTGGACTTTGAGTCCTTAATGTCAGATATCCAACTAGCGTCGCTATACCCTTCAAGTACAGTTGGATATCTTCCATAGTGCAGTCCAAGGTTTTGGATTTTCCGTAAATACCTCAAAACCCTTACTATT